TGACTAATTTGTTATAACTTTTTTGTTTTGACTTGTTTGTTGTGAATGTTTCGTAGCTAGTTATAACTAAGTGTAGGAAAGCTATTGAAAACCTGTTGCTGGGCTTACTTTTATGATAAAAATGATATTAAGTCCTGTTTTAACTGTGGTTTTTGATTAACAAATTGTAGTTTAACTTCCAGTACAGTTTTGATTTCTAAAGTAAATACCAGGGTATTATTTTTGTTGTTTTAACTTAATTCTTATTTTCTAAAAGTTATTACGTAATTCTTATATGTAACTTCCAGTTTGCACGATGATTGACAAACTGACAGTCACTACTATTTTATCTTGTCGTTAGTGATAAATTCAAGGCCTTTTTTCTCTTTTTTCTGAAACTGCACGTTGCCTTCATCTTTCACGCCACTTTTTGTAAACTAAACTTGTCATAACAAATTCAAAATAACAAGAATTCAAAGTTAAGTCATAAGAACTAAGTCAAAACACATAAGAACTAAGTCAAAACATATAAGAAATAAGTCAAACACATAAGAAATAAGTCAATATCCCTCAAGGGCGTCCGTAATTAACAGATAAAAATTTAGTAATCACATCAGTTTTGTACGTTTAACTACAAAACTACAATTAATCGTTCTTAATAGCTTACCTACACTTAGTTAGAACTAACAAAAAAAATCTCAAAAATAAGTCAAAACAAAAAAGTTATAACAAATAAGTCATAACAAGTTAAGTAAGTTAATGTCCCTCCAGGGCTTCCGTACTTAAGGTTTCGTCAAAGGTCAACATGTCTAAAAAAATATTTTTACAATAGCTTCAAAACAATATGTGGTATAAAGTCAAAACGTTTACAGTTTATAAATTAATCATTGATTAATAGATAGAAAGTATCACTTGATGACAAATATTTTTAAAAAGATATTTTTTGAGAAAAATTGTATCAGAAAATGTGCATATTTAAGGAAAAATGCAACTGCTTAATTCTGTCCTTTTTGTGAAAACCAACATTGTAGAAATGATATATGTTTATCATTGAAGGGCAAGTTGGACGTAAATTGTCTCTGAAAGGCTGTTATTGAAAGCATGACATGTATAAAGACAAGACTCCTATAGAATCCGCCATTTGCATTGTACTTTCACTCTCAAGTCGTAACATTTGGACAAAATAAACAGGAAAAACAACTTTCCAGAGGCTATCCAAGTCCAACTTGCTCTTCATTGATAAACATATTTTGTCTCTGCAATGAAGGTTTTCACTAAGAGCACGGAATTAATTAGGTGTATTTTTTGAAAATATATGCATTTTTAAGAAGAATTTTTCTCAATTAATATTATTCCAAGTATTTTTTATTACCAAGTGATACTTTCTATCTGTTAATCAATGAAAAATTTATAAACTGTAAAAGTTTTAACTTTATGCCTCACATAGTTTTGGGGCTATTGTAAAAATAATTTTTTGGACACGTTGACCTTTGACGAAACATTAACGTCTTTTTGTAATCAAAGTACTGAAAGTACTGAAAAGCGGTTAGCATGCTTTCATCTAATATGTACCGAAAAAAGTGCATGAAATGATATTTAAGTATGCATATCTTTGTCCAATGTTATCAGAGAAAAAATAACAGGCATTCTGTTTTTGTAATACTTTACTTAATAGTAAAACCAATAACATTCCAAACTGATGTCACAGATGGATGCAATCTAATTAAAATTAGATGTTCCGAATCCGCTACTGCTTCTCAAACATCTAACAACATCATATTTGGGGTCATGTAAGAGTGAATCTTCGATTAGCCAAAGAAAACGGTTCCTCCGAAATCTTGGCTTATAGTTCAGATGGGTTTCTTGTTTTCACCACCGAACCAAAACACCCGAGCAGTTTTGTAGTAAACAAAATATGCATTGCATAAGCTGTGTTATGTATGACGTGTGGGTATCTTGTATAGTTTGTGCTCTTTCGTTTGCATTATTCACGTGCAGATGCCAGACTGCAGACTATACATGAAATTGATTCCAAAATTACTTTAATTCAACGTAAGACAGTATCAATAATGATGATATGTAGCCGTGGAATTAATTTGAGAATTGTTTACCGAGGCTTGAATCTACATGGCCAAAGTTTTTGTGTTTACTAGTACATGTATTCATAATCGAAAGGTCGCTCTGATGTGACCCCGAATGGGATGTTAGATGTTTGAGAAGCAGTAGCGGATTTGGAACATTTAAATAAATTTTAATTAGATTGAAATGCATGTTTCAAAATTTAAACATGAGATTTCTTCAGTTTGAAAGACAGCAAGTGCATTTTTAAAAGTTCTCTCTTGGTGGCATCCTATCGTTCTCTGGATGAAAACAATTATGTTGATGTTGAAAATTTAATTGTCTTTCATGCTCTATTGAATCTGAAGTTAGGTAATTGTAAAGCCTAATAGAGCAAACAACTAAAAAAATGACAAATTAAATTCTTTAGAATAATGGATTTGGAGTAGTGTAGATCTACAGCTGGCTATTCAGAGAAAAAAGGATGACTGAGCAGAGACTTTGTAAACGAATTGATATCAAAGAGCTCCAGTTGTGTAGGCTCATCGGGGTATAACCTGTCAACGAGGGATGCTTACTTCTTCTAGGCAACGGATCCCACCTCTTGAACTTTCAGGAGTCAGCTTTTCTTCTTTAATCGATCATTGATCATTCTGTATTTTTATACAGATACTGAATACTTCCGTTTAGTAATATTATGAACTACTACTTGTACGGGAAGACTGGCGAGTAAACAAGATTATCAAGCTTTATGAAATGTACTTTATTGACTTTTCAAACAAGTAAATGTTCGAATAAAGTAAATGGTTTATGAGAATCATTTAAAAGAAGTCTTGCACAATATGTCTAGATAAGGACATAATGTGTATTTGCCATATACTCTTCATGCAATATTGCTCTCAAATAAAACATGTGAAAAGGAAAGTAGTCTAATCAAAAAATACTAGTATCTAAAAATTCAAATGTACACTTAAAGTCAGTGTAACTTAAGAAGTTATCAGTGTCACTTTCTTCAATATGTCGGTTAAACAATATACACTGATTTCTTTTCTATCAATGTGCCTCTAAACACCTGTATCTTAATTCAATTCTTCTCAAACGCTCAAAATAATGATCGACAAACTGGACAAATTCAAATTTAAAAAGTATTTTCACAGCTGATAATACGTTCCCTAGGAATTGATCAAATTTTCAAAACTTATAAATAAACATTTTTAATCAAGCATACAGAATTACCGAAAAATAAGACAAAAGAGAAAGACTGTATTATTTGTCCGGAATTACCCCGTGTCCAGAATTCGACGGATCTCCTCTAAGTATAAATTTTAAATTTTTGCTAATTGCCAAGATTTTTCATACCTCATTCTTCTGTGAATAATAATATCGGTTGATTTTTAGAAGAGGGTCACAATGCCGATTAAAATTAATATATATTTATCCATTTTTTTTTCAAAATTAATTTTACTACTTTGCCCCATTATTTTTTTCAAAACTAAAAGTAAGTGATCCCTTATGATCGTTTGTACATGTAATAAATTATCAAAGACGGAGCAGAGAATTTACCCCTGGGAGCTGAGCTTTTAAAACTGTTTATTAGACAGAGAAGAAAACAAACGTTTCATTGTGGAGGCAATCCTATTGTTTCCATAAAAACGTTACAAAAAGTGTAAAACTTGCAGATGTATTCGGTGTTTTTATAAAAACTTTTTTCAGGTATGACTTGACTTAATAAATGGTGTTTCTTAATACTTTGGCAAGGAAAATCAAACTCGATCGAGAGATTTGCTGATGTTTTTGCAGTCTGTAATAACCTTCAACCTGCTGTATAATTAACCGTATCGTTCAACTTTCAAAAATAAACTAACAGTTGCTATAAATCGCGATCGCACTATGTACATGTAATAAGGACGAAATTCTCAGTTCTTTGAAGTTAGTGTTCTAAGTATTGTCAATGCTTTGGTAAATACTAATAAGAATTCGATATAATCGTTATAATAGCCACTCTTCTTACACAGCATATTGTCAATCTTTCACCAGGGGGCGTATTACGCCAACAGTATACAAATCATAGGAAGCGCTTTGCTGAAGTTACCGTTGTCGATAGGTAGCGCCTTGTGGAAGTTTCCGGTTTTGGTTGCAGAAGGATAAGGTTACGTGCGATAAAGCGATGTCGATAGGTAGCGCCTTATGGAAGTTTCCGGTTTTTTAGAGCCCATGCCATAAAGCGGTTAGCTAGCTAACCGCTTAAAAATGAAACAAATGTGTTAAAGCCTCTGCTAAATTTTATTCAAGATCAAAGTTTATTTTGCCTGCATGCAGCTCTTTTTTCAATTATTTGCTTTTCAGTTCAAATTTTTTGTGACGTATATATAAAAAAAAATACACCAAATAAGTTCATCTTGTATAATCCTTCAATTGGAAATCTAGCACATACATAAGAAGGGATAGATCAATACAACATTTACACTTGATTAAGTTTTGAATTTCACACCTATTCGTAAAAGAATGTTCTTATCTGTAGAAAGTTGGATGAAATAGCAAAAATGAAGCAAAAATAATACAGTATTATAAAACGTATGGAGAGACATCCTCAGGTAGCGTAGATTCAATTTTTAACAAACCATGACCCCCGGGGGTTCATTTAGGACAGGGACATAATGGACGATCAAAGTGTTGAACTCTATTAAGACTGAAGTAATTCAAAACATGTCTGTGTAAAAAAAAAACATTATATAGGGATTTATCTACACTCATCCATAATGGTAAAGAATTTTAAAAGTGTAGTTGTGCTTGTGAAAATAGACTCTTTGAGATATTAATAGAATTTATAACATGAATTGAACACCACTTGACACAAACCATCAAACAAACCCTATATTTTAAAAGAAGTCTGATTTTCATATAGATACTTATTTGTTTATCAACAAAATATACAATGGTACAAAGACATTTCAGATTTGAACCATATCTTTTTTTTCATTTAGGAAATCTGAAATGAAAAAAACTGGTGGAGGGCCGTCTCCTCCAGAACTTAAGCCGTGGGAGGAAAAGGTGAGTCATGAATTGCAATAAATATACTTAAAAATGCAATGCAATGTATGAATCTATTTACAAAAAAAAATTGATTGTATAATTTATGTGTACATTAAGCATGTTATAAAAGAATGTCTAAGGAATTGTTTGAATGCTGTCCAAATGCTCCTCATAAAATTAATATTTTGCAGATAGTTGCTGTGCTGTCTAATTATGTCATATCTGGCGTGGAAGGTGGATTTGAATCCCTCAGTGTGATGTCACCCATGGATAGTAAGCATATAATATGTACAGTAAAACAGGCTTATAACCACATGCCAGAGACAGATGATTTTGCTACATAATAAGCATGATTCATTTTATCCTTTATATTTATGATTTGTTTAAGACTAGTGGGGGATGAAAATTACTTGATAGAGTGCACAATTTGGGGAAAACTAAGATGGAACAAAAGGGCTCACTTCTCAAAAAGTCTTTATGCATTAAAAAATGGAGGAAATAGAGAAGGTTGATGTAATAGTCTTTGTTTATATACATGTATTTTTAGATTTTATCCCATGTTTAACCCCTTATCCTATTGATGTAGGTCATGTAATATAGTTTTCGTATCACACAGTTGTGACGTTGCAATGGGTTTTGCGTTAGAGTGATGAAGTAAAATGAAGTGGAGTCCGATGTAAAAACAGTGTTAAACATTGTCTGTGGTGTAAAACAGTGTTAAACATTGTTTGTAGTGTAAAAAAAAGCATGGGATAAAAAGAATCTAACATGGTTTTTAGATAGATATGATTTTTATCCAACTTGGGGATAAAAACCACACAACTCATTGGATAAAAATCATATCCAACTTCAAGTCATGTAAGATTCTACATATATTTGCCCAAAACATAAATAAATATGAATTTTTTTAAAAATTAATTTTTCTCTAATTTATTCCAGATTGCATGCCAGGATGTTCTAAAAAGAGGAAATTTGGTATGATTGGAATTCATTTTTTACAAAAATTATAATTTGAATATACAAACATTATCACATTTAATATACATGTATCTCTATCTTTGGCTTTTAAAATGAGAATTACTTCATTGTTTCTCACGTTTTCATATTTAAAAGAAATGGACTAAACACTAAATAAATTTTGAAGGCACACACCATTTTAATCACATCATATGAGCATTGGGTACTGTCAAGTTTCTTCTGAATATAATACTTTGCTTTGACATTTATTTACATGCAACAAAATATTTTGTAGATGAACCGTTTGAGGGATTTGAAGCACCATCAATTGGTTAGTTATATTAAATGATGTGAAAATTGAATTTCTGTATTACATTCATTTAAATTATAAAGTTTGGGATAAGATAGTCCCTGTGGACCTCCTAAAACTACACTATATGCCTGTTAGAGGTTTAGAACAACAATAATACTGCAGCATAGTTTTTTTATATAAATGAATTATGGTGCTTAATTAAGCATTTAATTCATATTTTGGGATGTCTTTGGTCCTATAACACACCTGGTCATGCTGAGAAATTGAATACCACGCGTTAGCGCGGTATGATAATTTGTCAGCATGGCCAGGTGTGTTATAGAACCGAATTCAACATCACTCCAAAATATGAATTCAATGCTTATATTTACATTCTCTAATTTTCCTTTATCATAATTGTTTATTTCCTTCATGTTTAATGTGAATTTCGAGCCCCTCGGTATTGGTGTGCTAAAGGGGGGACCTATGTCCGAAAAGTCTTTGTGTGAAATTTTCAAAATTTTGACATTTCTTTGCTGACCACTTGCTCTTAATTTTTAGGTATTAAAAACAACACCTTTATATGCTTATTTTTACACAGGAGCACGTGCAAAAACAGTGTAAAATGCTAAAAATAGATTATTTTCAGACATTCTTGTTCTACTCCAAATATGCGTTAAAAAGAACCAAAAATGTCCAATCACATTCGAAATCAACATGTATTCAATTTATATGACTTGTATTTTTAAAATGAAGGCAAATTCATTGAAATTTATTTCGCATGAAAAATTATAAAGACCCACAATGTAAGTATCACCCCGTTTTTCTTGTCGTATTTTTTACAATTCCGTCATACATAACAGGTAATATCTTAAAAAGTCTTTGTGTGAAAATGTCGTAATTCATATTTTTTGAAAGAAACGACTCATCTCTTTATTTTAACAAAGAAAAAAGTATACCTTTATGATAAAATAAACAAGAAATATGACGTTTTCTTTTATTTTCGTACTCTTGTGTCATAAATTTTGACCTTTCTGCACTAAAATAAAGGCAAGTAAGCACTAACAAACACCTGAAAATAAAACTATTTTGCGAAAAACAAGGATTTTGATTTGATTTAGAAACCATTTAAACAGATTTATTCTTTTCTTCATTCTAATCAATCTGCAACCCCCCCCCCCCTTATTTCCCCGTCAACAAGCAACACCTATTAGAACCTAGGAATGACTTTTATATATAATAAAATCTACATGTACTACAAATCAATAAGCAAATATACGTACAAGTACATTTCTAATTTTTTTCTTAGTTTTATCCAGAAAATACAATTAATGGTAAACATAATGTTAAAACATATTTCCCTGATTTAAGCCGCTTTCTTTGCTGAATTTTATCTTAAATCTTTTTGCACTTATATTTAAGGAATGAATTTAATAGCCACCCATTTTATACGGTATAAACTGGGTTGGGACAGTTTACGAAAACTGTTCCATACCAGTTTATACCGTATAAAATTTATAAAAAAGCGTAAACTGTTACAACCCAGTTTATACCGTATAAAATGGGTAGCTATTAATTTCATTGCTTATAATTTAATTTTCATTCATTCGATGTAAGAAAAAAAGATAATTGTTCTAATAAAATGACTTTAATTTGTACAAAATTTGAATGTAACGTCAGGCGGATTGATACGTTTTTGACGCAAGTCATTGTGACGAAGGCAACCCATTTTATACGATATGAAGTAAATTTTTTATCCAATCAAATACAGCGTTACAGCCAGAATTAAATTATATCAGCATATCATCGAGGTATTTCTTCACAACTTAAATTACTATGAATTATCTACCAAAGGAAGAGAATTCTAATATTAACAAACTCCATAAATCAAAAAAGACTGTTATTAATTATGAATAAATTTTCTTTTTGTGAATTGTGTATGTTATTGATTAATAACAATGTTATGCCTTTATCACTATTGCAAAAGTCAACAGGTAAAAAACAAACGTCGCTATTGTGACGTCACATAATGCTGCTTTGACGTAGAACGACATAGGTCCCCCCTTAATAAACGTAATAGCCGTTCGTGACGTTGGAAAGCCGTTTGTGACGTTGAAAAGTTAAATAACGCAAATAAACATTGCGAGGGAAAAAATGACAAATTAGTTTTTAAAGCACATTTGCTGTATTTTATGTTAATTTTAAAAGGGTAGTTTTTTAAAAATGAAATTGAGTCAAAACAATATACATTTTGGTATTCCTAAATACTGAAAATGAATGTAGTTCCTACTGTGTATTCTACCGCGCTGTGACAAGGTTTCACGTGTGTTATAGAAATTTGAACGTCGTGGATTTCTAATGGATTTTATAAAGAAAATTACACTGAATGTAAATATTGAAACTTGCAACATTTCTTTAGCGATTATATTTATATGTTTTTTTTTATTATTATTAACAGTCATAAACAAGCCACTTCCAACTGTAGCTGAAGATGTATCAGAAGTTATGTCCACATCTTCCAATGGTAAGTTTATTTGAAACCCAAGCCTCACTCTGTGAGTATGTAGATTTTGAAAAATACTACTATTCATAGGATATCCCATGGCTGGTGATTTGATATGATTTTTTAACAAGTTGTATACTATTATTTCTTAGTCATGGCTTGTGGAAAATCATTTCTAGTCACCAACCATGGGCGATTTTTATACCCCCATTCTGAAAGGGGGGGATATATTGTTTTACCCTTGTTTGCCTGTCTGTTTCAATTTTTTGACACATATTTCTCAGCAACTACTCATTGCAGATGCTTGAAATTTTAGCACACTCATTGTTGAGACAATATCCCATATGGTGGGAATCATTTATGAATGAACCTAATGTCAACTTTCTGTTTATCAGTGCATCTGAACTTGTGTATTTAAACATTAAAATGCTTTAGTTAAGTTGTTAGTAAGGGAATGAATGAAGCAGCTGTTGCAGAAAAAATACATTGCAGGTTATGTGATTTTTTTCTGCAATAGATGTGACATTCATTCATGTACTACATGTAGCAACCAAAGAAAGACATTTTGTTGTATATATGTATTATATCTGTTTAAATAATCATTTAAAGGAAGATAAAAAGAAGATTAATTATTGTATTATTAATACGCTCATCTTTGTACATTTCATTGGTGGAACAGCCACTGATCAAGAAATCGGTGCATTTGGTATGCATAATTTTGTTCATGCACTGATAAACAGCAGTGGGTTTTCTTAAGAAATAAAGGAGAAAATATTCAGTGGATATAAATATATTCAAATGAGAATATATTTACATCAGAGCATGGGTATTACAAGTGAGCATTGGCTCAGAGACTTCTTGTTAAAATCATGTATTACACATACATATAGGTAACAAATATTTTTTGAATCAATAGATCATGACATGCATTATACATTGTAACACTGTTCATAAATATGAACCTGCCCTTTTGTTTGTAGGTGATAGGTCAATCAGTAAGAAAAAGAAGGACATAGAAAATTCCACAGTTTGTAAGGAATTACCTTTGCTGATATGTCAAAAATTTTGATTAATAATTTTAGAAATACACGTGCATATACACATTTCCCTTGCCATCTATTATTAGGTAAATTGTGCAATAAGAATCAGTGTCATTCGTTGAATTGGCCACAAATAACAAACAAGAGAAAGTTGTTTCCTTAAAAACTTTTTGACTATCTAAATATCTTTCAAAGAAAAATTCTTTTTACATATTGTTTTCTTATTATTACATGCCATATGTCCTTGTTACATGTATATATCTCAAAAATTTTGAAAAATATGGTTTCAGCTACTATGAAGGACAAAGTGCTCGAAATCGAAGAAGAAAAGCTAAGAATAATGAAAGAACAGCTTGACATAGAGAAGAAGAAGTTGCAGATCCTGGAAGATTATGTTTTGTGGAGAAAACAACAAGACATTTCACCTTCAGTTTCGCCAGTGATTAAGGGCCTGATTAATTTATGACTGTTTTAATTGTTCCCCTACAATTTTAGCTCTACTGGTCAGAGACCAGAAGAGCTTATGCATTAGTAAGGTGTCCGTCGTCCGTCCGTCTAGCTGTCTGTCTGTCTTTAAACAATTTTTCAAAACGCTACTCCTCCTACAGTTTTGATCTGATTTCAATATAACTTGGCACACAAGTAGACTAACACTAAGATACATAATATAGTGCATCGGTTTTTGATTTCAATGAAGGGTGTTGCTATTGTTACTAAAAATAGAAATGTGTGAAATTCCTTTAAAACTACTCCTTCTTCGGTTTTGGTCTGATGGCAATGGCTTCTTTCTCATCCTTTATTATATATATATTATATATTATATTATATATTATATTATATATTATATTATATATTATATTATATATTATATTATATATATTATATATAGTACAAACCAGTAGAGCTACAGTCTTGACAGAGACTTCTGGTTAGACAAATATTTATTTATATAATAGTGTTTGTACTTTGCATGCACTATGCCTAAATGGTGTGAGAAAAAAAAATAACTAGAAAGCCAATACAATATGGATTTAGCAGATTATACATTGATTTTTTTATTTAATGTATTCAATACGTTACAAAGCTTCAGACAAAAGTACTACTGTATATACTTAGTACTCGCCTATAAGTCGGTCTGCCTATAAGTCGGTTTATATTTTCTGACGTTATTTTGGAGGGATTTGCTATTGACCCACTTATAAGTCGGTACAATTTTTTGCCAAAATTTGGTGACAATTTCATGTAAATCCATTAATTTCTTAACCTGGTTTCAATTAATATTTTTCGAAATGACACTAATATTTAATCTTAAATCATTAAACAAAAAGTCAAGGCTCAATTAAAATTATTAAAATATGTAAATACTTGTACTTTATCTATATTATCTAAGAATACATAAATTATCATTTATAATCAGACATTTTCTTCAAAAATCATCGAAAATGCAAATAAGATACTACATTTCAGCCTCCAGAAAAATACCAGTCTCTTTATGACTCGCCTATAAGTCGGACATAGAGTTTTAGACCAATATTTAACTCCCAAAATACCGATTTATAGGCGAGTATATACGATAGTATGTTGTACATGTATAAAATTTTTAACTGTACATTTCACAGAAAATAGAGTCCATTTTTATTTACATTTGTTGAAAAAATAGTATTTTTACAATTGTCAGAATTAGCTGTTTGTTTTTTATTGTTAAAGTCATTTATGTTGTTAATTGTTATTAATTGTTAATTATATTGATGTTTGTACAATAGCAACAGCAATATTAAGTTTTTATGTAACTTTTTATATATATTCAGAAATATGATAACATTATGATGATAACTAGTCAAACAATGTCATGCATTAAGCATAATTTATGTACAAGCATTTGAAAAATATCTATTACAAACTCAGTATGCATTAATAGACATTTTAAACAAATGATATAGCATACCAGCACATATTAAGGATTTCTAAATTCATGTAACTAGATAACACAATTGTTTTGAAAATAGAGTCTATTTGTACAGTAATACATATACGTAGTTGAAACAGGTCAAGATTGCCATGTGATCCACATATTTGATATTATTACAGAATTTTTGATTGTCGCCAAATATTAAATAGCGCAAGCATCCTGTGTTATAAATAATGATTGAAATACATATTATGCAAGTGAGTGTTAAGTCAACCTGTATCTGAACAACTCTCAATTAAAATGTAAAATGTAATGAATTGTCTAGTCAGAACTTACAAAGTTTATACATAGTCAACTCACTCAAATGTGATTTACTGTACAGATATTGATTTCTAGTTTTTATTGCCAATATTTTCTTTACTTATCAATAACAGTTCATCTATGTAAAACATTTATACCATATATATATTGTATATGTCTTTTAATTGTTTAGAAAAATTCAGATACAGAATTGTTTGTAAACATTTGATTAATATTTTGTTTCTCTATAAAAAAAATTCAAGGGCGATAATTTAAAGAAAACTCTTGTTGATGGATGCATATTATTTTAAAAGCACAGAGAACAATTTGATTTTCTAATTTTAAAAGAAAGACTTCATTATGTTTTCTAATTATAATTAGATAGGTATGAAATTAAACATTACTTTCATATATACCTTATGCTTTTAATTTTCTTTTCTGAAAAAAGTTAGCAATGCTTCATACTTCAAAGTATTTCCACTTTAAATCTAATGCTATTGTTATTGATGAAAATCAATATTTGGAGTGAAAAAAGTGAAATTTGGAGCAGAGAGGTATTTCAACTTCATTGAACAGCATAAAATAAGCTATGAATATAAATTGACAAATATATCAAATATATGTTTGTCAGGCTGTCAATGGTTCTTTAAACTATTATGTACGTATAAAATTGTAATTAGCAAGCAATTTTTTACATAGGTTTTGTATGAAATCATATCTTGGATTTGTAGATTTAAATTTGTTCAAATATTTACCCAAGTGTAGGGTGAGACAAAAGTACAAATGTAGGCCAAAAAAATTACACAGAATGAAAAACAGTCATGCCAGTGAGCATGTGACATATTGTCTTCCTGTTAACACAAGTATTGTGAAGTTCTTAATATCCTTTAAACTTTTGAATTAATTCTACATATTAGAAAATCAAACTTGTTATGAATACGGGGAATTGTGACTTAAGGTACTAAATCTTGAAGAAAATTGAGAAAAAAGTATATTTAACTGACTATCCTCACCAGTCACTAGCCTACTTGTCAATTTCAAGGGGTAAATTTAGCTTCAATAAGCATGTACATGTATACATGCATATCCAAATCAATTCATACCAAATCTCTGAATTAATCTCTGTCGAATTGCCTGTCCAGTTTGGTCTGCATTTGCATCTTGGGCTTGTACCGGTAGATGAATCCCAGCGGCATGCATATTGACATCTTCATCACATTCCATCACAGGTACTTTCATGTCAAGGCACATGTTGTGCAATTTAGCAACTGCAGTTATGATCTGAACACTCTTTTGTGGGGAGAAGAGTAGCATCCCACCAGATTTGTGCAAGCATCTACAAAATTGTAATTTTTTAAGCATACCTTAATCACTTTTACTTAAGTAGTCTTTGCAAGAATTAATATGTTACTAGACCTTGTTATACTATTACTATTGATGCCTGGTACAATTGATATTATGATGATATTCATGATAATGTTGTCATAAATAAACTATACCATTTTTATTTAATGCATGTCAAATTTGAAGCTTAGTTTTGGTGTGTATATACATATAAATATACATGTACCTAAAGCGGGATTTGCAAACACCCAAAGCCCTCTCAACCACGACTCGTGTGCGACTGTGTGCAGCATTGTAATTCTCTTCCCCCACGCTAGATGGATTGGCCTTAGGTGTCATCATATATTTCTTCAGGGCATAGGCCGAGTCCCCAAGAAGCCAGCCATCATTTCTGTGACCAATATATCAGAAGACAAAAATAAAAATTTAAGAAACTAAAACTGTCCAAAGTAGACAAACACCCCATGATTTTTCGGAGAAGCTAGTATTGGTGTTCACAATTTGTTAATAAACATTTAGAGTGCTAATTAACTGGTAATTTATAATATATTTTTAATAATTAAAACTAAACTCACACAAAGCCTAACAAAACATCAATACTAATGATATGGGCCGAAGAGGAATTACATATATGAACTTTTTCTTCAATTGACCTTGAACCTTCATTAATGACCTTGGGTCAAAGTCATGACACATCCTCAGGATATAAACCATAGATATGGACTGCTTGAACATGAATTATTAAATTTCTTTATGTGACCTTGGACTTGCCCAAATGACCTTGAGTCAAGGTCTTGACACACCTTTAGGTCATGAGCGATCTTGTGTGAAGTGTATGTAGTAGATTCTAATGTTCCTTCATAAAGATATGGAATGGACACGCCTGCACAGACATACATTATTTACGTACGAGATGTTTCCTATATTCCCCCTAAACTTTGTGTGCGGGGGAGGGTATAATAAAAGCTGTAACAACCCTCTAAATTCAAATTTCAGTTACCGTGTTTCCATGTGGTCTTTTAGTTCAGAATTGGCAAAGATGAAGGCATCATGTACCGAGCCCGGCCACTTACATACAATGTTCGTGAACCTATAAATGATAAGAAATTAGTATCGTAATCATGTACCAACGATTTATGTATATAATACAAATATTCGCCCGGCCACTTACATACAATGTTCGTGAACCTATAAATGATAAGAAATTAGTATCGTAATCATGTACCAACGATTTATGTATATAATACAAATATTCGACTTGATGAAATAAATCGTAAAATATATACATGTATGATCTGTTTCACTCGAATGACTCGATTTATGCAAGATAAGTGCTATTTAGATGGATCTAATACATTTAAGTACAGTTGTAGTATTCTTCTTGTGCGAACCTTAGAGAGGCATCCGCCACCACCTGCACATTCATGGCATGAAAACCCTTTCGGCAAACATATTCTGGTTCATTTTCTTTGGGGGCCATTATAGGTATAAGGGTGCCATCGATGGCCCCAATAACATTGGGAAACTCCGCTATTTGGTAAAAATGGTGCTTAGTAACTAAAGCATCATTCTCTGAAATGTAAGTTTGAAATTCTATGAATAGAAATGTATTGAAAGTATGTATAAGAAATTTCTTTTTCCATGCATGAAAATCGGACCTATATAATTAAAAAAAAAACCATCATATATCAGTTTCTTATCATTGTTTCATTTAATGTATTAAAATTTGCGGGATACTTTAAATTTTATATACTGCCAGTAGCACAAGTACATCAAAGAGGGAGGGGGGGGGTCTTTGAGAAAATTGCGTTGAACATTATTAAAGTATGGGAATTTCCTTAAGAGGCTGCCTACACTTATTATTTTAAATTGATGAATTAAAAATAAGTTTATAGGTTTTGACGCTCAATTTTAATACGTTTTTCTATTTCATTACATATTTTTATCGATTTGATTGTCGAAGTAAATGTGGTATCTCATTAAGTACTTTTTCCTACCAACCCCCCCCCCCCCTTGAAAAATATATAATAAATATGGCCTTCTCATCATTACATATGTTGATTTAAAAAAAAAAATTCCGGAGAGGTCAATGTGTCGGGCTTTATTATGTACATGTATATAGCCTAGCTAATTGTTTTCATGCCCCTTGGGCGGAACGTTAAATACATGTACTTGTTTGTACAATGAATCTTTACAATAAAAATATTTCATACATTGTAAAAATTATGGATTTTAAGAATTATATAGAAGTTTGTTTTACAAACCTGATGGGAAATGAATGTTATCTATCTCATTACAAATTGATCTGGTGACACGATCAATAGCTCTAGACACGCTTGATCGTGATATGCCATGCAGGTCACCACACTCAGAAAAAAAGGAGGCCTTGGCAAGGTATCTTATGGTCACTAGCACCTAAAAGTTTCATAACAGGGTTTTCAAACTTTTCACACGAAAATCTTCCATGGATAAGTTTTACAATATGTCGGGAACTGAGAGAGAGAGAGAGAGTTAACTGAGATGCTCATTTAACAGATGAATGATCTGTTTTTATCTGTTTTTATTGTCCATCGATATCGAAGGAGTGGTCATGTAACTAGAAACGTATACAGAACATGTATAATTACAACTACTAAAATATCGACGAAATTATGGGACACCTTCGGTTACTGCGACTATGCAACAAAAACATAGTAGTATAACTTCTAAATGTATTTCTTTATTTTTTTCAAGTGATCAACCTCTACATAGGATTTAACATTTTTATGAATTAAAAATAAAAAGAATATACATGTACACTAGAAACTTCTTTGATTTTTCTTTTCTAGGGACTTGTAGGTTCCGGTTATGGATGCACGGTTGATGAAAAAATAGCCAGCGTTGTTGTCCCTTTCTGTGGAAAAGAAGTGTATGAATGTAGATTGGCACAAAGGTATACAGATATTTTAGGCTGCAAATTAATTTACAAACAGTACATTGGAGTATAGAAAATGGGTGAAAGTGACAAATCTATAAACAATATCGATGACAGGGATGGCGCCAAAGTCAAAATGGCGGAGGTAGTGAGTTTACCATTCAAAATAGATCTAACGAAGGTGGATTTGTCAGTGAGTGTAATTTACAAGGAATACCCTCAAGAGTGCTTACCTGATAACTTCAAAAACCCATCAGGGCCTAAAGCAAAGAAACTAGAAATTGAAAAGATCGACAACTCGTTATATGATCAGGCGGCTCACATGGTAGCATTTCGTATCACTAGGGAGAGATTAGAAGCATGGATACGAGCTCTGGGAATATTCTATTATGAACATTATGGGAAGTTAGAGGCCTTATCATATCTAGTAGACTGTTATGACGAACCGAATGACTGGGTGGCTGAAAGTAACAAAGCAATTTGTATTGGTTTAGTAAAGGACACACAACTTATGTACAAGGTCACCCTATTTATTACAACTGGAGTGATACAAGCACAAGGGTTGCATCACGACATTTTTGCAAGAAATGATTTCCCAATCCTTCTATCCCTTGTGAACGCCATTTGTCATTATGAAAAATCTGAGATATCAAACGAAGAAGCAGAGGACCCTGATCATGAAACCTTATTAAAAACTCTTGAACATGAACATATGCCGAAAGATCAGATAGAAGATTTGTCCCAACCAGAAAATACCGATACCTGTAGTCCCCAAGTGACTTACAAAGATTTTGATAAATTACAATCTATTTTCGTCGAATCTTTGACCAAGTTAAGTGAAACACAAGCAACACTTATGTCAAAAATTGAGAAAAACTTGTCCGACGCCTTACAGAAAGTGACCAGATCCGTAAATAATTTGCAGACAGAGTTAGATACAATTAAATCTCTGAAGTTGAAGGATCAAACAGTAGAAATCGCAAGATTGGAATCTCAGCTAAAATCAGAAAAAGCAAAAAACAACACAACAGATGAGACACTGAGAAGAGAACTCAAGAATTTGAAACATGAAAACGAATACCTGTCAGAAAAGCTTAACACAAAAAATGAAGAAAATGATCAGCTCATGGATGACAATAGATCACTCAGAAAAAAAACTGATGAACAATTCAATGAGATTTTGTCCCTAAAATCACAGCTATCCAGCATGTTCATAAGCAGCAGAAACAATACCAAGGATGAGACGGGGAGAAAACTCAAGAATTTGGAGCATGAAAATGAACACCTATCAGAAAAATTAAGCACAAAAAATGAAGAAAATGATCAGCTCATGGATGATAATAGATCACTCAGAAAAAAAGCTGACGACTACTGCAATGAAATTTTGTCCCTAAAATCGCAGCTCTCCAGAATGTTCACAAGCAGCGAAAAGGACTTTGAAACCAGCAGGGCGAAAGATTTGGAAACCAATGCTGAGAGGAATCGAAAACCAATGGCGTTATTGATAGGTACTTCCAATGTGAATGGCATTAAAGAGGATAAACTTACGTCTGATGTAAACGTTACTAAAGTTACAGCATATACTCTTGATGAAACAAAGGATGTGATTATTAATTCTTCCTGCATACCTGATGTAGTAGTCCTCCACCCTTTAACAAACGATGTTAGGAATGTTAGTCCCGAAGAATGCGCCGAGAAACTGAAGGGTGTGGTCGAGGTCATTAAAAAGAAGTGGAAAGATGTCAACACCATCATATCTCTAACCACTCCAAGAGAAGACAACTCCTTGCACAAGGTAAACTGTGAGATTCTGGATGGAATCATAAAGAGGGACTACATGGAGTGTCCTGGAGTTCATATTTCTGACAACGAAAACATGTGGCACGGATATCTACCCACAATTCAGTTACTGAATCCCAAGGACAAATTCCACCTGTCTCCAAAGGGAACATCCATACTAGCGTCCAACATGAAGAGAGCAATTCACACCGTATTAAAGATAAGCACCGTCTCTAAGGGACATGCGAATAAATATCAAAACAGATTCAACTACAACCAGGAAAAGCATTTCCAGTCGAATAACGGGGACCATTACTACAAGGGCAACCCGAGCTGGAATTATGGATACCAGGGCAATAGTTATAACCGCAAATTTAAACAAAGTCCAAACTATTTCCGCTGAACATAGAAAGGGCCATCAACACAATGGTGATAAATACTTGAAATTGTAAATCAAAACTTGTTTTACATCTGAAACTAGAGAATCTTTGAATTTAAATAACTTAATTAATTTTCTTTATTTGTATAACTCTTAATTCAGTAGTATACAATTAAGAGTCCAATATGGACAAGTATATGTATAAACACAGCATAAAAATTTGTTACTGGAATGTTGGAGGAATTTTTACACAAGGTGAGAATAAGCTAAATGATGAATTATTTTTGAAGGAGGTAAAAAACTATGATCTTATTATATTAGGTGAAACACATGTTGGGTATAATACAAATCTTTTTATTGATGGTTTTTCATACTTCCCTGTATGTAGGGACATGTCTGCAAATGGAAGATTTTATGGGGGAATTGGCATTTTTCGTAGAAATTGTTTTAAGGAACATATCAAGTTGTTACCAGGTACCCAGAAAGATTTTCAATGGATAAAAATTGAAAAACAGTTTTTTAATCTTCAACAGGACATTTATCTTTGTGCATGTTATATTCCACCCTCAAATTCAACCTACTTTCAGAAGTTAAATTATGATGTTATTGAAATTATTGAGAAAGATGTTAATAAATTTAAGACTAAGGGGGAAATAATGATCTGTGGGGATATGAATGCACGCACTGCTGCATCAGATGATTTTATTGTACATGATGATGTAAGGTACCTTCCTCTGTATAAAACTTACAAGGTTGATAATGATTTTTGTAAACGTAGTAACCGTGATGTCATTTTAAATGAAAGAGGAAAAGAATTGATCGATTTTTGTATTAGTAATCAGATGAGAATTATAAATGGTAGATGCATTGGGGATTTTTTTGGTGATTACACATGTTTTAACACGCATGGTCAAAGCACAGCAGACTACCTTGTTGCAAGTGAAAACTTAGTTAAACAAATTTTATATTTCAGGGTATCTAGTTTTATTCCTACTCTTTCTGATTGTCACTGTAAAATATCATGGGAAGTTCTAGCAAAGTTTCAGGAGAGTTCAAATGTCACTAATACTACAACCTTACACCCTGCCCCTCAAAATTTTAAATGGAATGATGATTCCCCTATTAAATTTCAATTGGCTCTAAGTTCAGATAAGCTACAAGAAAAAATCAAGTCTTTTTTAGATTCCTTTATTACAGAAGCTACATCTACTGATATTGAGAAAAAGGCTGAAGAATTCAATGATATAATCATAACTGCTGCTAACATGTCATTAAATAGGACAAGTCATAAAAGAAAGAATGTTAAAAAGCATAAAAATAAAAAGTGGTTTGATCCAGACTTGCAAACAATGCGCTGTAGACTGTTTTATATAGATCCATTATGTAATAGATGTAATTCTAACAACATAGATGATGAAACTCATTTTTTAATAACATGTAAAAAATTTGATCATCAAAGAAAAGAAATGTTTCAGTTAATTAATCATAAATTTCCACTATTTTCAGCTTTAGATGATGAACAAAAACTTTATTGGTTACTCAATACAGAAGATAAGGAAACTCTTAATTTTGTGGGCAAATTTATAAATGATAACATGTTATAGTACCATTAGTCTTTTACACATACATGCATATTTGATGTATTCCTTTTAGACAGGATTATTGTTGAAATGATTTATGTCAACTGCTAATTGTATAATTGTTTTGCTATTCATTGGCTTATCTTTTCCTTATTATTGTAACAATTTCATACTTGTCTGTTATGGGCTCTAAATTAGAAATAAAATGTTCTGTTCTGTTCTGTACACAATGCTACAGAAAAAGTTGATCATGTTTATTATCTATAACAGACACCTTAGCTAACGCTACTTATTTTTCTTTTAATGAAAAAAACATACATCATCTATTATTAGGTAGGGGTATGTTATTTTTATTAAAAGAAAAACAGGTAACGCTGTGTGCCTGTGATTATAAAATAGCCTCTCTCTCTCTTTATCTCTCTCTCGTAAAGAGAGATAACTCTAAGTTGTGTGCTGGGACTGCAAAGGGTAAATAACTCAAGGGTATAAACAAACATATGACCTGTGTGTACGCCGGCAGAGAGTGGCTTCTGTTTGTTGGCCTCTCAATGTCCCCTCTCACCAACTCTACCAAACGATAGAGGAAATGACGAGGAAGGCGATATCTTTCAATAACTTCCTCATCATTGAGAAAATCAAGCGGATTTGTCCTGTCCCGAAAAACACGAGGTCTAGGCAGTTTTCTCCCATTTGAAGGTACATTTTCGTCTGCTATTAATAATAGTGACGCCATATTGTTTGTTTTTACGAGTACGCGAGGTTATCTACGAGAGCATAGGACCACTCGTAGAGTTACGATCATCTTTAATCGTAACTCGCAAGTCGTAACTCTTAGTGAAACGCACTTACGTGCTACGTTAACGTTTACGTCTACGTTTACGAGCTACGACATGTTAGTGAAACGGTCGCCTGCTTCTCAAGGATAGGGAAGAAATGATTAGTCATACTAGTATTTGAATAGAGGCATCTTCAGGATGTGTAGATTCAACTTCGTTCAATTCATGACCCCCTAGGGTAGGGAAGGGTCACAGTGGACTATGAAATTTTTAGATAGGAATAGAAAAAAAAATACCTTTTAAAGATTATCTTTTCATGAACATTAAAGCCAGGCATAATTATGTTTGTTCAAATCATGACCCCATGGGGTAGGGCGGGCCGCAATGAACAAACAAAATTTTACATAGATATTTATAAAGGCTAATTAAGAGCATAGTCAACTTATGGATTTAAATCTTTCAAAACTAGACTACTTTTGGGGGCTTTTTCTCATATCCTCAGTGCTTATAATTAGGTGAGTGATGTAGCCCACGGGCGATTTGTTTCCTACTACGAACTGAATAAGTTGGCTGAGAGATTGCTTTACGTTTGTGCGAGATCAAAATAACTGTGAGTTCAAGAGAATCACTGTAAATCGGAAGGAGAGCACTGAGAACTTAGTATGTGGTCAAAGCATTTTACGGCCTTTGAAAGGCCTCTTGGAGATCAAAGGAGAGATCCAAGATATCGTTTAGTTTTTTCACTGCATTCTGATGACATAAAACAAACAAGCATGACGTTATTTTTCTTATACATCAAAAAGTCCCTTGACATTAGACTTTGTTTCATGAATGAATATAGTATAAATGATATCATAATGCTTTTTTTAAACTATATCTTGCTAATTGTATGGGGGTGTATAATAAATTTATTATTATAGCAGTATCTTGATCCAAAGAACCTCGTCATGTCTAATTGACAGGCGCGGTATATCAGATCAAACTCGATGCTTCGCGTTTCAATTGATCTCATGATCCGCGCCTGTCAACTCGAAGTGATCGACCCTTCGAATCAGATTACCGTTATAATGATTTATATGGCTTAGTTATGTTTTAGAGCGGAAAAGATAAAGATACGGTTTGGGTGTCTTAAAATGGGTATAATATGAGTTGAGTAGATAGTTATGATAAATCACTAAAGAATATGGCAAGAAGGAATACCATTCTGTAAATATGACATCATAGACATTAATTTGGTACATTTCTATGTCTTATGCAAACCCATTTTGTGCTTATTTTTCTTTTTGAAAAATGAAATATCATTTGTCCACTTCAAATATTAAAATACTTTGTGTGAAATGATTTGGAAAATCACATACCGGTATTTTAAATTTTTGTGTGCAATGCGTGATCTCTGAAAGAAATATCCAATGACAATTGATGTTTTATGCAACTTACATGTACGTTAATAACGTCATAATTAGCAATTCTGAGGTCAGAGTTTTAGAAATGATATTGCATTTTAAGTTTTTACCAGTCTGGTGTTCAAAAATTTCAGAAAATTTATGGCAACACTAGGAAATGATGTAAAAAAAACCCAAGGCCAGGCATGGTCATAAAACTCGACCACTTGATTTTCAACAAAGGTGGGGTTTACAGTGGTACCTCTGGTGTCTTCACAACACCGGTAACTGGGACATACTACTTCATTGTTACCCTCAGCATACCCGCTCAAATCAATGCTAGAGACTACCTGCGAGTGCACATCATGAAGAGTGGAGTAGAGGCGTCTTACCTGTATGTGGGGGCACACAGCGTATGGGTGAAGCCCTCAGAGAATACTCTGCTGGAGCTACAACGAGGGGACAGGGTTTACGTCAGTGTGGGGAAGACATCCTCCTCAGAGTTCTCTCTTATTCCCGGAAGAGATTTTCATTGTCATTTTACAGGCTTTTATTAGACTGAAACCGCGGAGAAACATATTTGAAAAATGAAAATAACATACATTCAGAAAAATGTGTGTACAACCTAGTATTCACTTTTCTACCCAATATTTAATGTCCTTTAAAGAAGATGTTTACATATGTAGACTATTTCTATAAGAACATAAACAAATATAACTTTCGTTGATGTTTTGACGCTTATAATTAGCAGATTTTTTTCTAGCAAAAATGAGGATACAAGATCTAGAGATATGTCCAGACTGCCACCAACTCTAAAAAAGGTGGCTTTGATTTTTAAAAATCAGAGGCGCTGTTGTAAAACATGAACAAGCCTACTAGTATTTAATATCAATTCTCTGTAAGGACCAAAAAACGCACTATCATGGAATTTTATTTTATCAATATAATATTAAAGAGTGTCCTATATAAAGACTATAGGTGGGTAAATTTTGGACAGTGCTTCCTTGGTTTCCATAGCAACGGCCTTGAAATATTTTGCCATAGCGAAAATGACCTAATTGTCATCACCATGCAAAATAATTCCATGCTTCCTAAACGTAGAAAAGTTGAGAACGTTACATGGGTCTCATTTTATAGCTAACTAATCAAAGTTTCTTGGCATATAAATTTTATTCAATTTAACTCAAGGTTTTTAATATAATACAGATCAATTTACACAAAGATTGTCATAAAATGAATACAAAGGTACCTATTTCTTCAAGTGCATAGAAATTTTTGCAGGCAATTTCAACTTATAAAAAAAGTTTTTTCAGTAAGATAGAACTTATAGCGAGCGCAGCGAGCGTCGCAAAGCGAACTCAATAGACTAACGTGTAAGAACAGAGGAAATTCGGATTGAAATCTGTACATACGTCAGCCAAATTTCTCTGTGCAACATTCCCAGAATTCCTGCACTACCCAATGTCCTTTGCGCGAATATTGCCGAATAAATAAATAAATAATAACGTAAAGCATATATCAGACTTTCAGTTTGTAGAAATCTTTCAAAGAAACAAGAAATAACTCCGCAATGTTTTTCGAAAAAAATTGCACTTGTTCTATAGTTTCAAATAGACGCTCGGCTGTCTCCGTAAGCTCCGATGAGCTTTGTGACGTCGTATTACGTCACAGCTAGTCGAAATATCTCGTGCGGCTTGACGTTTGAAGTGGCTGATCTCAAGTGTTTTTGATGGTACAACTGCGCTCGCCCCAACGGTCACACCGTAAAACATATTATCTAAAATATACAAAAAGATTTGAGGTGGGTAAATCAGTTAAATGTTGTTTTCCATTCGCCTGAAATCCTCACTTTTCATGAAAATTGACCGAGAGTTATTTCCATTTGCTGACTCTTTTGCACTGAAGACAAAAAATGGTTGACTCTCCTAGGCCTGTCAAAAGAAGTTTCTAACAACATGTGGCTAAACAGACACCAGTGTTACAACGCACTTTGAAAAATTACGCACTTTGAAAATTTTTTTTAAAGTGCGTTAAAATTTGGGACCAAGCTAACGCACTTTGAAAAAAATAATTTTTTTTCAAAGTGCGTTAATATCGACCATATTAACGCACTTTGAAAAAATGTAAAGATTGATCAATATTCCTTCAAATAATCAGTATGATAAATAACAGATCCTGGTTTGATAACTTTTTTATGATAAAGTCACTGTAGGACCTGAGATATTTTGAAACGTTTTAAATATTTAAGGTTTTGATAAAGTAAAAGGGAAAATTAAAGGGTATAGGGGGCACTAAAAGAGGACAGCTTCAAGCAACTTAGCATTTATCATAATAAAAAGGGGCCAATTTGATTGTTCAAAACTATGAAAATTCCTTCTCTCTCATACGTTTTACTGTACTTAAAAATTTCTAGTTTTAATCTATTTTAATTAACTCATTTATTATTGGAAGTTTTCAAGGTCATACCAGTTAGGTAAATACATAATTATATGAATGCTTTGAGTATAGCATAGACATCGAGACTGGGCGAAGGGCCAGGGGAGGGGATGGGGGGCTAAGCCCCCAACTTATTTTGGAAAGATATATACATCGTATAACCATTGAAAATGCAGCATACCCTTTTTAGGTTTATTGCTCCCCTCCCCCGTTTGTTACCGACACCTATGTATTGGAAAGATAAAGATTTGGACTCAGGGATCTTATACCCGTCTTCTCCTCTTTTCGACGGGAGTAAATCAATTCATTTTTGAGGTTAGGGTTAGGCTTAGTTTTTTGAAAGATAAATAACAAATAAAATCTTTCCATGACTAAAATATGTTTTTTTTTCAAAGTGCGTTAAGTGTCTCCATGGTAAAATATATTGATGTAGACTTTTAACGCACTTTGAAAATTTTTTTCAAAAAGCGTTGAGTAGGTCCCAAATTTAACGCACTTTGAAAAATTTTTTCAAAGTGTGTTGATTTTGTCCCAATTTTAACGCACTTTGAAAAATTTTTTCAAAGTGCGTAATTTTTTCAAAGTGCCCACACACCAGGAAAATAAACAATGAGAAAATGATGTTTAAGTTGTAAATGACAAAGTAAATCATCAATCAATTAATGAAAATGAAAGAGACAGGTCTTGTGAAATATTGGAACAAAATTTATGAAGTCTGACTAGAGGGATTCCATCTATTCTAAAAACCCATACGTACATTATGATGCAAATGGAAGAAAACATTAAAAAGCAGTGGATACGGCCACCGGGAAATCAGTAGGAATGGATTTACCCTAGGCACAGGTAAAAAAAAGTAGAAATTTGTGTTTACTTTAGAAAGCAAATTAATTAACTTACTCTTGAAAATCATATAACTATTGATTAGGAAGAGAATGTAACAGAAGATTAACTTAGGTTTGTGTGTATGAAATGAAAAATTAATATGTGTTTTCGGGTACAGAATACATTGTTGTTAAGTGTGTGTGTGTTTTATTTGGGGGGGGGGGGGGCTAAAAAATATTTAGGAAAGTGTGTATAAATTAGAGACGGACGTAAACACATGCATATTATAAGGCTCTATTCAGTTTGACTGTGAAAAAAAAACCCATAATTTTTAATTAACTTTAGCAATATATACACACTTTGATAAAATACATGTATAAAAAATGATATGCCCTAGCTTGAAGGTATGTTAAAATTCACACAAATTTATTTCATTTTAATAATTAATAATAAATTTATTTTTAGATGTACCAATACAGTTCGAACTATGAAAATAAAGATGAAAAGATACATTGAGAATTCATTTTCAGTAAAAAGCAGGTGAGAATTTTTTTTAAATATTAAAATTACCTGGTAAGGAAATAAACATTCATCATAATTTAATCCTAATAAAATAAACATTCATCATAATTTAATGATAATAACTACATGTACCACAGCAATATTAAATCTTTTATTAATGTCATGATTTTTAGGTCACCTGAGCCAAAGGCTCAAGTGAGCTTTTCTGATCTCATTTTGTCCGGCGTCCGTCTGTCCGTTTGTCTGTCTGTAAACTTTTCACATTTTCGACTTCTTCTCAAGAACCGCTGGGCCAATTTCAACCAAACTTGCCACAAAATATCCTTGGGTAAAGGGGATTCAAGTTTGTTCAAATGAAGGGCCACGCCCTCATTCAAGGGGAGATAATTGGGAATTAATGAAAATTTAGTGGCATATTTTAAAAATCTTCTTCTCAAGAACCACTGTGCCAGGAAAGATGAAACTTATGGGGAAACAACGTCAGGTAGTGTAGATTCAAGTTTGTTCAAATCATGACCCCCCGGGGTAGGGTGGGGCTAAAATGGCCGACCAAAGTTTTACATAGAAATATATAGGAAAATTCTTTAAAAAATCTTCTTCTCAAGAATGACAAAGCCATAATTCATCATATTTATATGGAAGCATGCTCAAGTAGTGTAGATTCAAATTTGACCAAATCATGACCCCCAGGGGTAGGGCAGGGCCAAAATGGCCAACCAAAGTTTCTAAAAAATAGCAAATCCATGATTGGTCATGGGACTACTTTTGGATTTAAACTTTACAATAAAAAACCATTTTTTTACTTTTTCCTACCCTTAGTGCTCAGGTGAGCGATGTGGCCCATGGGCCTCTTGTTTCTTATCAAGTTTTGGGATACAGTAATTTAAAAAAAGAATCAAAAATTGGTTGTAGAACCTACTATGATTGTATTGTTACATTTTAGAACTGTGCCACAGGAGCATCACCTGTGAAAGGTTACAAATGATACAAATGACACCAATAAAGGATATATGAGCAACTGTAAGTACACTGTTAAATAAATTAATTCAATTCTCTCAACAGAGTCAACACCTGATGTATGTTTTAATAAAAATTTTATCAAAGAGGTTTTAGAATTTTTTTTGTTCTATTTATCAAAAGAAATATACTCTTACCATACTTAATTCACAAGCAAATTTTAAATTAATTGTGGGAACACCTTATCGCTTACAAGTTTTCAATCAAAATTTGTTCAGGAAAGTTTTTCTTGTATTTACAAATTCATAAATTGAAAATGTATTAAGCTATTATGCAACTGTACTTGGATACATGTATATATGAAATAGTATGAATATCCCTAACATACATAATGCATATATGTATGATTTATGCAAGAAAGTTGCATATAAGGCACTATAAATAGAGGAACCCTACATAGAACACTAGTATCCAGTATACAGCAATGAACTATATAGTTGCAAATTATTAGGAAATAATCTTTGTTTTTATGTTTTTATTATCTTTTTTAACACAAAGGTTAATATATACCAGAAACAGGAGGCAGTTACAAAATCAATAAACAAAGACAGAAAACTTGCAAGTGATCCTGCATGAGAACTGAACACCAGACAGTATCGTTACCAAACAGTATTCTTTTGGAGGGAATTCTGTTTAAAGAAATTGGATGTCAGAAGTTTTGATTGTGATGGTAAATTCACTAAATTTTTTAGATTGCTTTTATCTTCCATTGGTTATACTTAAAATATTTTTGAGGTATTTTTTTCAAGGTGTAAATACTAACAATTGGTTTAGAATTAAATACATGATAGTGAAAAATATATCAATTTTGTTTTCACATGAAAAAAATGTTGTAGATAAATAATATATTTAAATTAGGGTATAGATGTATGTTATTTTTTATTTCAGGGAAAAAGTCAAAGATGGTTATTTCAAGTGTCACTTTTTAAACCCACTTTCTTCACTGGACAGCACTAACACCACATACAGCAAAGTGTTTAGTACAAACACGGATATTGTGAATTTACGGATAAAGCGAAGTCATCTTGGATCCCCAACTATATAAATTTAACACATTCCTTATACAGATATAACAAATAACGGATATAGCAAAGTAATTTCGAAGGTCCCCATGCCTTTGTTATAACTTAGTTTAATTACTGTAACAGTAAACGTCTGATGTAAAAAAAAAAAAAAAGGCAACTTTAAGTCTAGCTATTTGAACTAAATTGTAATGTAACAGATTTTTTTTTTTTTTACATAATTTGACATATAAAATACACATTTTAGATAATGTTCAGAATGAAGATTTTCTTGATTAATAATTTGAAAAAAAGACTGTATTAATATAAAAATATAAAAGTTGTTATATATACATGTACTGTAGATCAAATAATTTTTGCAATTATTTTACCTTATTTTCACAACATTGTCATTGACTCTTTTTTTAAATAGACACATTTTTCACAAATTGGTGTCAATACTCTTTTTAATCTCAAAAAATACCATTTTATGTGCGAATTAATTTTCTGAGAGCACAAAGACTTGTTCAATAGTGGGAAAATAATGTTCTTGTGAATAAAACTGATAAACAGAACACAAATGAGTATGTGTATGTTTACAGATTGTTAGTGATATATTAATGATTTTTTCAATGTGTTGTTAGTTTTATAGTCAATTTAAATTCAGCACCTTTTCTCCACTTTGTATCTAGTATTTGAAAATATTGATTACTGGGCAAAGTTCCTGTGAAAAGTTTTCAGTATGTTGTTGGTGTTGCAAGGTCTTAAAGATGCATACTAGTATGTGCCAGTCTAGAATTTTCTTGTTTTTCCTCAAGATAATAGCATTAATCCAATCTTGGAATCTTATTTTGCTTGGTTTCACTGTGTAACTGTGGAAACCCTAAAAGTTATTTATAGAATGATTTTGCTAACACCTATGTCTTTGAGATCAAACATTTTATTGTTTTTCTTAAGTTGTTATTAAATTTTGGTCAAGTGACGCCTAGAATTAGTGAATACTTTGCATTTTTCAGTATTTAAATTGGCTTTCAAATATACCCAAATTTACCACTGACTTACATGTACAAATAATTTTCTAAACATTTTCTGTGTAGCATAAAATTAAAACAAGGTGTGTAGTTTTTGTGAGAATAATTTGTTGGTTTTTCTTAGATTTTATTAAATGTTCAGTTGAGATTTCAAGTAGCCAAAAGTCTCAATTTTTCAAAAATTTCTGGCTGTTTCCATAGAAACCAAGATACCTTGCAACCAAATTTTATTTGATATTTTTATTTCTGGTATCAAGTAGCACTAATGGAGAAAGTTTCATCAGAATCAGTGCATGACAAAGAAGTTTAATTATTTATAGAAAATGGCTATCAAAGAGCTAATTTTTGCTAGATTTTGAGTTATCTGCCCTTTGTAAGGGATCATTGAGAAACAATAATAAAACAATTAATTTTGATTTATTTTAATTAATAGCTTTAAAAAAATTGAAAACATTTATTATTCATTTGATTTCTCATATTTTTAAGAAAAAACTGTTTGGAAAAGAAATTTTATTAAACAACTAGTGTCTGGTAAAATTTTGAAAAAGAAACAAATTATTTGGCAAAATGCCAATTTTCAAAGTTAAAAATATTTTAAACGAATAAAATACCCACTCTACTTCTTATTAAAGTTGAATAACATTATTATAGTGTTTTTAAAATTTCAGTTGATTTTTTCTCATAGTGCTTGCAATTTTTGATAGACCTCTTGAAAAACAGGGTAAAAATGTCCATTTTCAAAATGTTAGAATTTGGTCATCTTTGAGCCACCAATTGAGGAATATGCTGTGACATTTAGAATTTTTTTTATTTGTGTAATATATTGCTCCATATGTTCTATTCATATAATGTATTATTTATCTTATAAAAATAAAGATGATTATACCATATGAAATGAATTATATAGCATTTTTATGTGTGAAATGGGCATAAATGGCCAAAATCTATTTTTGTCCGTTACCATGGCAACCAAGGTGGTAACCTTAATTTTGAATGTTGATTTTGTCATACTGTATGGGCATTAATCACCTGAAAAAGTTTCATTGAAATCGCCCATGGTGTGTGCCACAGCCCTATAGTAAAATTTTGGTCCTTACAGAGAATTGATGTTAAATCTTTTATCCTACTTTTCTATTTCCAGTAGGGTCGTTTGAAAAGAGAATAATGACATTATATATTCTTGCTGACTTTGAGGATATTTCAATATTTTAACATTTATTCCATATTTATTCCTAGCAAAACTGTTTTTTTTAATGAAACCATCTTATGTCTTGGGACATTGGTAGAGAAAATGAACCTAAGATACATTAGGATTCTTGCATATTTATTGAAACACTATTCTAGTAGTCTAGAGTATTACATTATTATTTCTCATCATTCACACTGTTCTTTAACAGAATAATAAATTACTTGACTTTCTGACTGGGGTATACATATCAATCAATAGAAAGACAGCTGGAAATGCAATTTTTTCAGACATGTTTTCCTTATTTCTTATTAACATTCAGCCGTGTGTTGTTTATTGAATTATGGGAAATTTAAGAAGAAACAAGTATCGTGATATGGTCGTCTGCGCAATTGAATAGAGTGCTTTACTCAAGCTTGGTTAGTGATTAATTCAAGTATTTCCCTATGACGGTGCTCTTCTGTTTCTCAAATAATTGTCGTACAGTACTACTCGTAGCTTTCATCAATTTGTTAACACATAATACGAGGGTTGTCCCATAAAAACGTGGACAAAGCGTTTTTCTCGAAAAGTAATGGGCGTACTAAACTGAAATTTTCAGTAATTGTTTATTCATCATATTTAAGTGAATCATTATGTTTTTGATAATATATATTCAAAAATAAAGATTTCATTCTGCTTGAATGTGCACAAGGTACGGTCCTACGGCGCACGGTAAAAATAGCAAGGTTATATTAGACAAGACATAAGAATTAATTCGTAATAAAAGTTTTCAATGCATAAGATTAGGATGAAAATTATCCTGATCTATTCATTAATCAATTCTGTCGTCTTTTTAAAAATTTCAAGGCATTTGGCTGATTTTTAGCAGTTTCCAGAGCATTTGAAATGGGAAAGTAATAAACACAATACACGAAAAATGGGGACTTTTAATGACGTTACGGCGCACAGCAGAGCAGTTCAGATAGATTAGGATGTTGTAATGACGCCTTAAGAGACTTTAAATGAATACAGAAGAAAGAAAATATGAAAAATATCACCAGATCTTTAGTATAAAATTAAATGAAAGTTTTCTTAGTGAAGTCTTCGTGGTCGACTCCCCAGATAGTACAAAACATATGAACAGACTGCCATTTGTAATAGCAAAGGAAGCTGTCACTGTCGACCGTCGATGTGAGATTCTCTTTTAGTTGAATGATGGTGCGAATACTGTCTGTAACTTGCTAATAGATATTCAGAAGATCGCATGAGTGTGCCACATTGGTTTCTTAACTGGTTATAGATACTCACATATGTAAATCAATAAAATTTCTAAATTTTAGTGGGGCTTATCCAACTTTAAGTTTAGCAAAGATGAAACCTGACGCTGTTTTAGACACTTTGACGTTATCATCCGTGCGCCGTAGGTCAATACAGTACATAACATAAAATATCACAATTTGTTTACCTATGCATATATCTATTTGAAATTTGCTATGTATATTTATAATTTATCTACTAAAAAGTGGTGAAAATTTCAGAACGCAGTGATGATTATTTTTCAAACTAGACAACTTGTCCACGATTTTACGGCACAACCCTCGTAAATATTTGCACAAAGAGGATACGTATAAATAGTTAGCATGCAACCTTGAACACTAACTAATTGAACAGTATATGGTTGTATTTTGCTCTTTGGATCAAGTTCTTATGTGGTATATGTATATGATCAATTTGAAGCTACACACAACAAACGAATTGTCATATCCAAATTACTTTCCCCGTTTTTAAAAAATATTTCTTACAATGAAAATGCGATTCAGAAATGTTATTTGATTCAAATGTGAAAATACACTCATGAAAATATTTTGTGAAACTCTCTATCTGAAATTGAAAAGAATCATTAATTTCTTACAAAAAAAATAAAACCATTGAACTGTAAACTTAAAGTTACATTTTCAAACTTTTAACTAAATTATGTAACTTGGCCATCATTTAACTAATTAAACAAATATGTTATCTAGTAAGAGAGTAACCTATTTAGGCAAAAATATTTGAATTTGGAAGATAGAAATTTCGTTGTGCTATTTATTCGTAGGCGCCACAAGTAGATGCACCACTAGTTCATATAGAAGTAATTCAAGACTTTGTATCACAAAAGACACAGAACAAACAAACACAAATAAGTAGTGTATCAGGTTCATTATACCCAAATATGACATAACCAAGTGAATAAGGAATTAGCTGTATTACTTAAACAATAAAATGCTTTCTTTGTTTGTTATTACTCGAATGAACGGAAGCAGCTTTTGCAGAAAAAATACATAACCCGCGTAAGCAACTTAACAACTTAAAATGTTAGAATATATGTCTAAAAATAAAATGATATAACCCAAATGGCCGTTTTGTGTTTATTTTATTTATATGCCATAATATGGAGAGGGTACAGTTTTCCTTACAAAAAATATTAGCGTCTTGTGTTTTCGACCTAAATATAGTATCAGCACCCAAGCAGTATTGGCTATAAATTTCCATTGGATATTCCAAAGAATAAATCTATGATTGTCTGTCCTTCAAAAAAACATTGAACAGGTTGCATAATGTGGTTGCAAATACATTTATCACGCATTCTCAATTTATAGTACCAATTCGATCTTGGGAAAAGTCAAAAAATTTAGTGAACTGAAATTAACACTTTTATAAGTCATTTGAAACATGAAAGTGTATAGTTATTAAAAATCGCAATTTGATTCATATACTTCATGCTTTGTTTT